CGAATCAAAGATCCTAGTTCCTCGATGACCCTTGAACATTTCCTTTCGGTAAATGACCCAGTCCCTTACAAAAATTGCTAAAGCGTCCTTACGAGTTGTTTTCGATGACCGTACGATGATCCTCGCTTGTCTCTTCACATCCAACGATTGGGCTTCCTACTAACTAATGATACAGATAGTACTATCTAAAGGATGAGTAAAAGTACAAGAATGACCTTGAGTGGGTAGAACTCTTAATTGCTTGCTCTTCAAAACAAAACATTTCATAAGTACTCTTTAAAATATTTTCAAGCGCTTTGTATACACTCTTACCGATGAGAGTCATTACAAAGTTTGCCTTACATTGGAGTTTTCAAAATATTTTCAAACACACAACACAAAGTAGTTTTAGAAAGTGAGCTAAGCGATTAAGAGCCCGTAGATAACTACGGATGAAAAGGGTGTTAGCACCTTCCCTTTTCATAACCTACCCCCCGAACACAAAAGTATATCAAGGTCTTTCATGTTCTTTTCACCCTTTCCTTATTGGATAAAAGAAAAGTCGGTGGCGACTCTTGTTATCCGTAACATTTGTGATCAAACGCAAAACCAAGTCAGTTCTCCCATCGTATGACAAGATGTAATCATTCAAAAACTCAAGGTAGTTAGTCAACCAGAAGATTTTTCAAACTTCCAAGAGAAGAAAACATGGAGAATTAAAGAAGCAATTATTAGAAGGAAACTTAACATGCGTGAAATATTTTGGATTTTAGACTTTCAAATATCAGAGAAAAGGAAGAATCAGAAGAACCAATATAAAAGCAGAAAACCTCTTTGAACTAAAACACAAAAATAATTTCATCCAAAGAAATCAGAGAAGAGTAAGAATCAAAATGAGTACATCTGTTGAAACTTTCAATAATGCTGAGAGAGCAGAAATTGTTGTGGCTGTAGAGGTCAAAGTCATTGAAAGAGACCCTGCTACCGAACATTTAAGACCCTGGAGAGCTTTAAGGAAGAGGATATCAAGAAGAAGAAGAAGAATGGTGAAAAGGCTAGTCATCTGATGATGATGATTATTATGAGGAAAATTATACTTGGTCAAACTTTCTCTCAGCTAGAGGATTTAGATATGATTAATAAAAAATGACCTTTTTGTAAGTTTATTTAATGAAAGTTTTATTCTATGCTTTATTATTTGTCAACTTAAGGTTACAACAAATTTAGGTATTTCATTCTATGATTTCAAGGAATTCGGGAACTTCTTTCTCATAGACACTAATCTATCAAATTTCATCCTATGGTTTTATGCTACTAAATCTGAATAAAAGCAAAACACAGTTGCGGTAAAAAATAAAGGAAATGTGAATGTCCCACTAATGCTTCACACACAAAATCTAAAACATAGAAATTATAACTTATAGTAAATTATCTTGTTGTCTTTCCCATATTCCTTCTTGATTTTCTTCATATGAACTAGGCACAAGAATCTATACATAGAAGATACTAAAAATGAGATAACATTACTCTTCAGCTAAAATGGGTAAAGCAAAGCAGTATAAGGCTGTTGAATAAAAGAATTTCCTTCACTTAGTGTTTATTTCCATTTACTTCCTTTAACAACAACAAAATCTAAAACAACCCAATAATGAGTTTGTAACTACACAAAGTTATTGTCAAAAAATTTGAATAAAAGAAATAAACATAGAGAAGAACAACCCAATATGTCATTATTTTATTATGTTAAAAAAGAAACTTTAACGAAGAAATTTCAGAAAGCATTACCATTACCACAGAAAGAGAGAACAAGAAATAAACAGCAAATATAGAATAGTAATGTATCATAATTCAAAGAGGATAAAGATTATGTTATCTTTGTTGTCTCGTTTGTTAGGGCACCCTTGTTTGTTATGAACGAAATAAATTGTTTGTTATGTTTTTATTAAGTTAAAAGAATTTCACAACGGTTGTAAGAAATAACTGTAGGGAAATATGGAACACATAACCATGGTTTAATGAAACAAACGTGATTATTATAATTTCAATTTTTAAATAAAAAAATATGTTAAGGGTCACATGCTTATTTTTATTGAAAAAATGGAAAAATGTTGATGCTGGGATTCGAAGCTTGTCACCCAATTTATATGACCACAGTTGAGTTTAAGAACAGTGATGAAATGTTTCTTAATTAAATAAAATAAATTAATTTGCGTAAACAAATAAGATATTACCATGGTGAGGAAATGGTCGTTGTAATAAATCTTCACCGAATGTATGTTTTGTAGTAGTGAGGGTTTAGAGAGACCAAAGAGTTGGGGAACTATTTGGGGATACCTTTGACTTGAAAAAGTCAATGAGTAAAAGACTATAAATACCTTATTGATCAAGTAAAGAGAAAACATAAAACCTAGAAAGGAAAACAACTTTATTTTGCCGGAAGATCCATGCTAGCTAAGTCAGTGATAGAAGTTATTCCTGTTAGAATAACAATGCAAGTATGAGTAAGTGGGAAAATAGTCCCACATTAAATGGAAAATAGTACCACATTAGATAGGAATGTTGTGACTTGAGACTATATAAGTGGGAGAACCCACTCACCTATCACCTTAAATATTCAATAATGGAAGTTAACTATGGTCGAAGAGTTACACGGAATCGAAAGAAATAACACATGGGAGTTAGTCGAATTGCCAGCACAGACAAAAGCTATCTGTAGCAGTAGAAATGTTGAGAAAAAGCCATTGGATTTACTAAACTCGCACAGATCAAATAAAAACTTCCATTGTGCTTTATTGTTTCTAGAGGAATGGGAAAAGAGAAAATAACCCAAAAAAGAGGGGGTGGGGAGAATCTAGGTACGAGGGTTGGTTATGTAAAGGAAATGTATTAGCATCCTAAACATCTACAGTACTCCGCATGAACCTCTTTAAAAATTTGTTTATTTTGGCTATAAGTGTTGTATACAGAAAATAGATGGTGGAGATGAGGAAAGAAATATTTTTTATGATTTTTGCACCCGTCGCAGCTGCAAATCTTTAGTGCCTACGTACCACTTTTCGTGCAATAGGAAATCAGGGTACTTTTAGTTCACCTTTAAAATTTTTAAAAACACAAGTGCGTTGGTTAATTTTAGGAGACGATGCATCATCATCGTATCCGAGTGGAAAACATACTTACTACCCACGATTATGAGAAAAGAGATTTTGCTTCATCTCAAAATGGAGGATATGGCTTGGATTTTAAAATCAACAAAGCCTCACTCAACACCCAAGTGGAAAATATCTCACTTCACTACATATCGTAGAAGTACATTAGTTTGCATCACTACAAGGATTGACAAGACATTGATTAGCTTCCATCTATCAAGGAGACGAAAAGCTATGTGAAGTAAAAGAAGGAAGAAAAGGCCGCCAACTGCTACTAAGAACCTAACAGAACTTTTCAAAATGTGGGTTCCAACGAAGAAGACTTGAGGACCAACTTCGACCTAATTTAAGAGTTAAGAAAGCAAGCTCAGTTCATAATGGCTACTTACCAACAGAGGATGGCGAGGTACTATAAGCCCTGAGTTAAATTTTGAAATTTGATCGAGCTGAGCCGGAGCTGCTCCTACTAACTATGACTGGACAGCAGTGGACTCTTTCTCAAAGTCTGACCCTACCACCTATATTTGATGAAGCAACCATCACTGAAGCCATTTTTTTGTAGCCAGCTCAACTCCATTTAACAGGTTAGTAGCGAAAGGTAAGGCTTCATTCCAGAGTGGAAGAGAAGAGGGAGCAAGCCCTATTAAGGTTAAGGGAAGAGGCTATTTTACTAGACTAGCTACCAAGCTGACTCAAGGAAGCCGGAAAGAAAGGGCGTCAAGACAGCTTCGGCAACATAAAGTCGAGCTGAGGAATACGGAAGAGAAGTGGATTCAACTCAATCTTATCCTAAGAGTTGTTCAGAGAAGATAATCAAAGGTCAACGTCTAATGGAGGATTTCCCTCCCCGTGATTCATCTTAAATCGACCGATATACCGAGATGACATCCAGCACGAGAGCAAGAAAAGGAAATGGTCTCCGTGCAGCTTCAAGTCACGCCACTCTCACCAAGATAGAATCATGGTCACATCTGTAGTATATATATAATTTATAGAAGCGGAATGCCAATCGACACTGGTAGCCATCGGGATTGAGTTCAGCTGCTTTGACGATACTGACAAATTGAAGAATGAATGAATCAGATGAGCTCAAGTCTGGACTCTCATTGGTCAAACAGGCCCAACGGGCCAAGAGATAATAAAAGGAAACCTGAAGAGCAAGAAAAATAGATGTATGATAAGAGTCCTTATCCTACCCACCCTATTTATTTAGTGTATGGGAGTGGCAAGAACAGCTCCATTTAAAAGGTTAGCCGAGTACCAAAGAGCTCGATCAGCTATTCTATTTTTCAGTCCGGTTGACGCCACTCGATAGGAAGAAAAGAGCATAAAGGTTTTTCTAAGGCTTCAAGCCATGTTTCAGCTGAGAGCATTGATTCCCCTGGCACCTCTCTTCCACAGCTTGGCACGTTTAAAGAAGGTTCCTACACTAAAGTGTACAAAGTGGCATAAAGTTATTCTTTTCGGGTTCGGTCGGGAGGGACAAAAGAGAGATGCTTTCTATCAGTCAAAAGCAGATATCGCCCCCCCTCATGCTCCCACGGTCCGCTTACTGAGGAATAGAAAGGGAGGACCGGGGGCCAGAGCAAGTTGGGTTAGGGTATAGAGTCGTAAGCGCGATGGGAGGGTTACAGAGGATGTGCTCGTACGGTTCAAAGAAGGGTATGATCAACTCGTTGTTGGGAACTTTCACTCCTCTATATTCGAAATATGCCTTTCTAGGAGCATTACGATCTGTAGCTCAAATGGTCTCTTATGAAGTCTCTATTGGTCCTATTCTTATTGTGCGCCTTGTGAGCGCGTTTGGATCCGCGAAGGCAATCGCTTGGATGTTCCCCTAACCCAACCCGGGAACGGACCGGAGGGAACCGCAGCATGGGGGATGTTCGTGTCTCGTCGCAAGGCTCATTTTTAGTTTTTGGTTTAAGGGCGGATTTATCTGATCAAGGGTCGGGGCACAAGGGTCCTGGTACTATCCAAGTGCGGAGAACCCCGGAGGTGACTGCAATGAGCAGAAATCTAACTAACCGGCCTAAACGACGAGCAAACACTCAAACGTGAGAGCAAGGGATCACCTAACAAATGGATGAGCTCCAAGGAGGGAGGAAAGAGGAAGGAAAGAACCATGCTTTCAGAGAAGTGGCGGTCCGAATCTTATCTGAACTGTGATAATAACTGACTAAGCCATGCCATAAGGGTCATTCTCCAAACGGGACGGGGTCAAGCCTTTAGATTTTTGAGTAGGTTGGGTGACAGATCGGCCATAGGAGTACTCTGGGATATAAACTAGGGCAACCAATGTCGAGCATACGAAGATGCCTCCCGTTTTCATTTCCTTGAATGAGATTGATTGGCTTTTAGTCTTCTCACAAAAATGTCAAAGTATGACTAAGTTGTTTAAAGTTTGATTAAGAAAATTTTTCTAAAAAGGGCATGGACTTGATTCCAAGCTTGTTATGAAAGTGGTTCAAGTTTACAAAACAAGAATAGTTTTGAAAATGATGGAGAAGATTTTTGAAATTAAAGAAGATGGGAGGAGATGAAGGGACTATCCTAAAGCATAAGGTAAAAGCTAGGAAAAGAACCGTCTAACCAACGAGAAGCCAATAATTGAAACAATGAGTCAATGTAGAATTTCCATCCTTTGGATTGAAACCAAACAAGCAAAGATAATAAACATCTTAAGAATGCCAAACTTCAAATGCATTAAGTCTTCACAAAAATTGGGCAGAGTAGAGGTTGTATATAGATGAATTCACAATCACATACAAAGCATATAATCAGAATAACTTGCACAAAAAGAAAAAAATAACCCAATGTCTCGGGGTAAACCCCAAGAATTCTAGACAAAATAACAACAGAAGTCACCAAGTCTCAAGGGTAGTCAAGGCTTCTAATCCTAAGTCCAAGAGGTCCATAACTCCATCATGCCAAGGATAGTAACCAAATAGTCCAAGTAACCTTAAAGTTTTTTTTATTTTTTAAGTTCGTTATTAAGTATCTTCAAAAAGAAAAATGAAAGCTCAAGTGAGAAAAATAAAAATGACATAAGGATAAATGCTCAAGTGAGCAAAGATGAAAATGGCATGAAATGTAAATGCTAAAGTAAATGGAGTATAAAATAAATACATAAAGTAAAAGCATAAGATAAAGTCAATTGTTAGTGAGTTAGAAATTAGAGGTTAGTTGAATGACCATCTTGAGACTTGCATTTGAAAACTCATTAGAAGATTAATAAAATCAAAGCTTCTTAACAATAAGTTTCATTTTCTTTTTGTCAAGTATATCAGTCATTTTAAAATTCTCGAGGCAACAACAAATGATCAACGATGTTTAAATGATTCACTTAGACCAAAATTTATGATGGTTCATTAGAGGATTGATAAGACCAAAGCCTCCTAACAATGAACCTCGAGGTTATTGGATCAAAGGTTTCAAATTAAACATACTTGGGCTTGCAAAATATAGGTTTGGGCCATGAATGATCATTTCTCGAATCAGTACAAAATTTAGCGCTATATTGACTTATATAGAAGTCGCACCTATTTTGAGGCCGATCAATAGCAATCTATGTACCATATGTTTGGAGAAACGATATGCAGATCATCCTCTAATAACATGTAGTACAAGTGAGAAGGGGATAAGATGAAGAGGGGAGCGTAAATATTTGAATCAAAATTTTAATCAAACTATCATTAAAATCATTCATCCATTTTGGTGGAGTTAAACTCATCACCCAAGATCCAATGATGTTAATAAAGCTCGTGATCAAAAATCACATAGTTCAAGCTCAGCCAGAATATATTCAAAAATAAAATTTCATTTAATAAACAAAATAAAAACAAAATGATTTTTAAATTGTTTTTTAAGTGAAAATAAAAGGAAAAATAACAAACTATGTTCAAAGTATCAAATAAAAATTTAAAGAAAACATAGAAAAGTCGGAGATGATCTCAAGTATTTTTACAAATTTTTTAACAATTTTTTAAAATAGAAAAATATTTTTAAATTATTTAAAATCATTCAAGTAAGTGAAAAAATATCAAAAATAGTAAAACTCAAAATAAAATTTTAGAAAAAAATTTTAGATAGTCAGAAATAAAGAAAATGATCTTGATGAATTTTTTTAGAATTTAAAAATACCAAGTATTTTTAAACAATTAAAAATAAGTCAAAACAAACAAAAAATCGTAAAAAATATGAAATCTGAAAATAAAATCATGAAAAAATAAAATCACAAAGGGAATATTTAAAAATATTTTTGTGAATTTTTTCATAATTTTTAGGTCAGAAATGAATTTTCTATGACTTTTTGAAGTTTAAAACAATTAAATTTAAAAAATCAGAAATTAAAATAAAGTCAAAAAGTATGGATCGTTTGATAAGAGTCAAAACACGTAAGTAAATAGATCCAATGGATCTGGCGCACTGTGCATATCATGGTCTTTTTGGAAATCACACCAACTCCTTTTTTAATAATCAAAAGCAAAAAAAAAAATCAGGTGCATTGGATAGAGTCTGACTAATGAAACTAATCAGATCCAATGGTCCTCAAAACACGTGTATAGTAAAACAAATGCACTGGATATGACTCAAAAAATCACATGTCACGCTATCATTGGTTGAAGCACAACATGTAGGTCGTCTTCAACCTCCAGACGCCCTAAATTGAGGTTTCACAAACTGTAAAATTAGGGAACATGACCGGTACCATTAGATTCATCTCTTCAAGATGATTCTAATGGTACCCTCGCACCAAAATTATAAGCTGAGCAAGGCTGGATTTGAAGAAAACCTTAAAAAATAGCGAGCACGAAAATTCCAAGTATCTCTCTCAATTCTCAATGAAAATGAAAACCGTAAGAAGTGCGAGAATCAGATGAATAATTATAATAGAATAGGGATTTATTTGGTTCAATTTGGTTGAGAATTATACCTGAACGAAGTAGTAGAAAATTTCTATGAAACTGGACTTGGTTAGCACGATTTAGGACACTTCAAGGCTTGGTTCTTCTTCTGTTAGGTTCAGTGAAGTTCAAGGATAAAGAATCAACAAAGAAATTGGATTGGAAAGTGGAGAAAAGATGAATTTGAAAACTCAGAAAAGTGGGTTATGCAGAGAGTTTGGCAGGGTGATTTTATTTGTCCAAGCTTGAGGAAATGAATGTAATACGTCCCTCTATTTATAGAAGAGTGAATGGAGAAAAAAATTGGAAGCAATAGTGAGGTTTGGAGGGAAAACAAAGGAAGCCTGAAAGTGGGAAAAGTGTGACTTGAATTTGATCAAAACTCAGCTACCTCTTGTGTTTTAATCCTTAATTCAACTTTGGGGACTTGTTTAAACATGTTTAAATCAAAAACGCGTGCTAATTTGGTGTTTAGAAGCTGGATTATGGATTTTCAATTATGACTTGGAAGAAAAAAATCAATTTCAAGTAGCTGACTTTGAACTCATGGTGTACACGATTTAGGGAACCTTGGGACCTGATTCTTGATGCATTGGAAAGATGAGGTGACATTATTCATAATGTTCCAAGAAATAGATCATTTGGATGCTTGAGCTAGAAGTTGTGCTTGGTCAAAATCAAGAAAAAAGTGTTGACTTTTATACTTTAAAAAATTCCAAGTTTTTTTAAAAAAATCACCAAAAATGTTTTTGCTCCAAACAAGGTCTTATCCCAAAAAATTTCTTTGATAAATGATGTTATCTTGAAGTAGACTCCTTAAAGAGTATTGTGAAACTCGTATCACTCAAAAATTCCAAATATTAGACACCTTATGATCCTTTGAATTTGATAAAAATCCATAACGTGACCTATAATCTTTTAAGCTTTTAAGGCATCTTCTAACCATTTTCATATTTTGCACATAAACAAAGAGTTGAAATTCACACTCTTAAAATCATTATGGAGAAAGAATGGGATTAAGGAGATAAAAATTGATCAAGTTATGACTTTTTGAAGTCACATAAGGGAATTTGACGGCCTATCTAGAGGACTTGTAATCTTTCTCAATCATTAGTGATCTTTCAAAAAAAATTTGATTGAAACTTTTGAAGTTATTTGTTGATAACCCTTTAAGGAGAAGAATGTCTTTCGAATCACTCAAAAATCTCAAAAGATGGACAAGATATAGCCCTTAGAAGTTCGAAACCCTAACTCCTAGAGCATCAAAATGGCTTGGTAACCCTTTTCAATTTTGACAATCTTTCTTGTACAAATACTTTTGCTATGTAAAGAGAGGTTATTATGGATGATAATTAGAACCTATAGTAATAATAAACACTTCCAAATATTAAGAATTGAGAGAGTTATGCACTTGTGATCAAGGAATCAAGAACTTGTCCAATTAGGTCAAACTTCTTCAATCAATTCTTGCATCTTTTGACTTCCTTTGGGAAATTGAGGCATGATGAATCATAGTAGACCTTGTCATGATGTTACTTTAAAGCACTCTCAATGATGAATCTTAAATCTCAATAAAGCTTTATTGAAGAAGGCATGGAAATAAACTCATTTACCTATGAATCAACCTAATGAAATGTGTTGTGCCCTCACCTATAGTATCCCCATTTAGAGCAAACATTCATTGTATTTGTTAGTTTAAAGTTAATCCACACAAGACATATATGATCGCAATATACAAATCAAAGTTATTGGTGATCCCTCATGAGCAAACCTAGAGATAGGGAGAAGAACCAAACCCAAGTCTAATCTTGATATAATTGAGTTGATATGAGATGACAGAGGAAATTTTAGGGGGGGAAATTGGGGTATAACAATTGAACTTATTTAAGTGTCTTCTATCCGAAGATACAAAGGTTAAAATATTCGTGTAGACATGATTGAAGATACTTAAATATAAAAACAAGCCCTATTTTTGGCCCTAATATGCCATGCAACGCATATGATTGTGTATGCAAACAAACAAATCCGAAGGTGACACATGATACCACTGGGGAAGCAGAAAATGAAATAAAGGACAAAAGAAAATACGACCAGGAAAATAAATCACTGGTGAATAAAAGTCTCGACTCTATTGGGGTAAAGCCCAAGGAGGAGATAAAGCATCATCAACTCAAATATTGAGGAGAAATGTAAAGGATGATAACGACCTATAGATAACTGTGAACTACCCACTCACAAAGAAGATAGTAAAAAAAGTAACATCTACTCACAGGGAAAAGAAATGGTAAGATAATACCGGTAAAAACCAATGTTAGGGTTGGTAACCAATGATTAGTATCAGAACTGATGACTGGAAACATATGAACTTCTTTAGAATAAAGTGAATCTCAACAATGAACTATCTCCCATAATGACGAGACTACCATTC